GGCTATGCAATTTTCGAGCAGAGGCCTAAAAATAGGGCTAGGGTCCTTGGTTCAGTACGACACTACTTTATGACACGTAGGCCTTCTGTTGGAGGAATTGCATCAAAACAATCCACCCCCCCCAAAAAAACTCTCAGCAGACAAGCGTTACAATCATACAAATATATTAGTTTGTTTTATTGAATTTTATCCAATAATACGTCTCCCTTGACTTTGTGTAAGTTATTATAGAAATAAATATAGATCATATTGCAAATGCAGAGACAAGAGTTTGGGATAATAGTGTTGAGGATGGGGGCTTAAGGGGTTAAAGAGTAAATATTGGGTAAAGACTGTTTCTTTAAAGGTGTCCAGTAAATGATTGGCGCATGCATGCTTGTAGTCCCGCCCGTCTGTGATCCTCCACCTTAACCCAGGAGTTTCAAACTGCGAGTCCCCCTGCTCTCCGTGGTCCTTTTCAGCTCTTTTCTCCAAGTGATCCGTGGGTTCGGATGGCGTACGGTAGTCGTTATTCCACCTTTGCCAGCAACAGGGGGAGTCACTGCGCCCCAACCACATTTGCATGGATATATTTATATATACTTATATATAGATATATTGTTTTGCCCCGTTTGAATACAAAAATAGTGTCATTGTGGCTTTATTAGCTGGAAGACTGAAGCACTCTTTTTGCATTTGGAAGACAAGAAGGAAAGTAAGATTATGCTGATTTCCTTAGCTTCTTTTCTGGAAGACTTTGTCACAATAACTTGGATCGTCCATGCAGTACGAAGAAGAGCAAAAAAATAAAATAAATAAACATGAAAAAAGTTGAAAATCCCTCAAGGGTTGATCACAGAATGACACACATACACAGGTAAATGATGTGTTTGTGTGTTTGAGGGAGAGACAGACGGTTAGTGAGCAGTCCACTCAAATCCAGTTTAGAGGTCAAAGGTCAGTGGGCCTTTGATTGACAGGCGAGTGCTGTGGGATCGTGGGGGATCAGGAGGTTAGAGACCTAACAGTCTTGTCGTTACTGAAGTTTTCCTCTCTTCGTAGTTTGAGTTCAACATCCCACATCATGTGACGGGAGAACACACACAGCACTGAAACAGCGAACAAACACACATGGACAGACCTACAATGATCCATACCAATATTCACAATTCCTTGTATCATTTCATCAAAAGTCACAGTACTTCCACTGAGAAACAATCCATACTTTTCTTTTTTTCTTTTTAAACAAAAAACACTTGAAAAAAGGGATAAACAAAAACCTTTTAGCATCGTGTACACTGCAAAGTCACCACGAAAACGTTATTGGTGCATTAGCTTGTGAGAGGGGAAGTCCCTCCATGATCTGTCTGGAAAGGTCACCCCATTTAAACACATCTGCGCTGACTTGGTGCAGGGTGCTGTGTGTGTGTGTGTGTGTGTGCAATGCAGATGTGTCTGGGGATTGTGGGTGTGCTTCCATGAAACACAGACAGATTGTTACGTATGAGGTTAGTGTTTTGTTATTAACACTAAACACGATGTGACCTTAGGTGCTCTGGATTCCAGTATAAAAGCACATTTTATGAAGCAGCTATAAAAAAAAAAAAAAAGAGAGAGAGAAAATCTGACCGAGGACGGCGTCACTCTTTTGTCACGTGAGCCTCTCTCTTCCTCCCTCTCTTTTTTGTGTTTTCTGCTGCATTGCAGATGTGGTGAAGGGACTCCACCTCAAAGTAATGCACGCACGCACACACACTCAAACACACACACTTTAACAGCAACCCAACTCACAAAAAAGGGAAAAGTGTTAGAAAAATAAAAGCTCTAATAAAACATGGTTGGTTTGTATATCAATATTAATCCTTTTTTTTCACACCCTCCAAGATAATGTGGCTGCACCTTGTTAATGGAGTTTATTGCTTTCTGCCCAAGGACTCGTACTTATCGATTCGGCCTCAGATTTATCCTCTATTTTCCTCCCTCCCTCCCTTTCTCTTTGCCGATAATTTATTCCCTCACACATATTGGACATACAGAGATATTCAATCACAGTTACAAAACGATTACACACAAAGACCAAAGCTGATGAGTGAGTCTAGAACACACACGTATACTGTATATACACCAGCACACACACACACACACACACACACACACACACACACACACACACACACACACACACACTGCCTCCAGGTTAAAGGGAAGTTGTGTTTGAAAAAGGGATCAGGGAGAGGAAGTGTAACTTCAAAAGGAAGCGGTGAGGGCACGAGTTAGCTACACTACAATATGTGACACATGCTTCTCTCTCTCTCTTTCCCTCTCCCTCTCTCTCTCCCAGTCCTTCACCACCCCGGATGACCCTCGACTGCAGTTGTAATGCGCTCAGTAAGCAGGGAGGAGGGCCCTGACTCGGGAGAAAAGGCAGGGAGGGGTGTCCCCAGGGATCAAAGTGTGTGTGTGTGTGTGTGTGTGTGTGTGTGATGTGTGAAGCGTGCAGATATACATCATTTAACCCCCTCCGATATCAATACACACACCTCTCCCAATTTTCTTTTTTCTTTCATATACTCAAGAGAAATGTGCCAAGCCCAACAGCCAATATTTAACATTCAGAGCTTAATCCAAAGACATTCATCAGTGAGTTAAAAGCAGTAATTTAAGCCACGGAGAGGGCTCCGCTAATCAAACATGCTCTGAAGACAGACGGCTGCCGAGATAAACGGCAATCTTTACATCTTGTAATTCA